TCTCCCATTTAAAGAGCCCATTTTTCACCCAGAGGGTGGGGGTGGGCAAGTTTCTATGATCTTGGGAGAAATGAAAGGAGAACCAAGACTGATGCTTGTCTCATGTAAAAATAATGTATGGAAGTTTTCTTTTTCTTTAGGGGGTGCCAGAATATGGGAAATAGAAAATGAATTTAGGGGAGGGCTTGGGGGTTGGACTTTGAGAGAATAGAGGTAATGGATGGATTGGAAGGTACCTGAAGTAGGAGGCACTTATATGTGTCAAATGGGGGACCCCCCACCCTGAGTCCCTTTCACCCTGGGGGCAGTGTCGTTCGTCCTGTCCAGAATGGCAGCCTGTGGAGGCACCTGCAAGAACAAAGTGACTGTCTCCAAGCCTGTGTGGGACTTCCTGAGCAAAGAGACCCCAGCCCGGCTGGCCCGGCTTCGGGAGGAGCACCGAGTGTCCATCCTCATAGATGGCGAGACTTCTGACATCTATGTTCTCCAGCTTTCCCCACAGGGTCCTCCCCCAGCCCCTCCTAATGGGCTATACCTGGCCCGGAAGGCCCTTAAGGGGCTGCTGAAAGAGGCAGAGAAAGAGCTGAAGAAAGCTCAGAGGCAGGGGGAGCTTATGGGCTGCCTGGCTTTGGGGGGTGGTGGGGAACACCCTGAGCTGCACCGCCCAGGCCCACCCCCTCTTCGAGCAGCCCCACTCCTGCCCCCAGGGGCACGGGGGCTCCCCCCTCCTCCCCCTCCTCTGCCTCCTCCTCTTCCTCCCCGTCTTCGGGAGGAGGCAGAAGAGCAGGAGAGCACCTGCCCCATCTGTCTCGGGGAGATTCAGAATGCCAAGACGTTGGAGAAGTGCCGGCACTCATTCTGCGAGGGCTGCATCACCCGGGCACTGCAGGTGAAAAAGGCCTGCCCCATGTGTGGCCGCTTCTATGGGCAGCTTGTGGGCAACCAGCCTCAGAATGGGAGGATGCTGGTTTCCAAGGACGCCACCCTCCTACTGCCCAGCTATGAGAAGTATGGCACCATTGTCATCCAGTACGTCTTCCCGCCCGGTGTCCAGGGGGTAAGAAAACCACAGCCTGCCCTTACCATCCGTCTGGTTTCCCTAAGCTTGTCTCTGATTTAGGGAAACTAGCTGAGGGTGGGTGTGTTTTTTAGATGTGATATATCCTGCTGTCTCCCAGAATGCCTTCCTATTCAGTGCCCTGGAGCTAGGAGTTCCCCTTGAAGCCCAGCTTTGTCTATCTCCACGACCCCAACACACACATATAAAAATCGGATATGAGAGCTGGGTTTGTAGCTCAATGGTAGAGTGCCTGCCCAGCATGCAGAGGCCCTGGGTTCAATCTCCAGCACTGCAATAATAAACCAAAACCAAAACAAAACAAAAACCCCAAAATGGTATGAGAGAAAGGAATTGCATACTAGTTCCCTGATGAACATGGCTGTTGATAAATATTCTCAATAGAGGTAAACTCTGTGGAAATGGTGATCCTAGTGTAGGCAGGCACAACTGGAAGGGATCTGACTATCCTAACAGCTGGGAGTGTTCTTTGTTTCAGATTTATGAGATACTAAAAACTTGATGAGAGTGAAAGGTAAAAATAGTAGTGGTCAAGAGCCTACAAGTATCTTCCTGCTGAACAAAGAGTAATGTCCAATTCTGGTTCACAGAGGGATGAGGAAGCTCTGAAGAAGAGAAATAGAAAATGGAGCAGGTTAGACAGTGGCAGAAACATAAGGAGTGTTTTCAGGTGAAGGAGGGAAGGCAGAAAGATAAATTATTCTGTCTCCACCTTTCTGCTGAGTTATTTGGAGAGTCCTAAGGACCAGCTACCTTCTATCACTTTTGAGAATCCATTTCTTGCTGAATTGAGGCTTGAGGGACTGTGACGGTCAAAAGAACCTCTTAACAATAAGGATTATGTCCAGAAACAGGCTTTTGCTTCCCAGACCTGAGAGTCACTCCTTCTATGGAAGGCTGTCAGCCTGCTGTTGCCTGTCAGCACCAGCTGGGGGTGCATAGACAAAAGGCTGGCCAACTCCCCCCACCCCGTTAGCATCTAGGCCTTAAGAAGTTCAGCTGCTCACTCTCCACTCTGCTTCTTCTTCCAGGCTGAACACCCAAACCCAGGAGTTCGGTATCCTGGCACCACACGGGTGGCCTACCTCCCGGATTGCCCCGAGGGCAACAAGGTGCTGACCCTGTTCCGCAAGGCGTTTGACCAGCGTCTCACCTTCACTATTGGCACGTCCATGACCACAGGGAGACCAAATGTCATCACCTGGAACGACATCCACCACAAGACCAGCTGCACAGGGGGACCCCAGCTGTGCGACTCCTGTTCATTTTCCTCCTCTTGGATTCTCCCCTTGTATTTCCACTGAGGGAACAATATCAAACCCCTCCCTCTGGAAGCCTCCTAACTGTAGAAGATCACCCCAAACTTTTCAACCAAGTCTGTCATCTCAGTCTTTCCTAGTTTCAATCCTGATGTGCCCAGTTTAACCTACCAAAATATGCAGAATTGGGCTTGGTTTTGGAGGTCCCTCATTAGGGGAGGCAGGGAGGAGTCTGAACGGGGCCTCTACAGAGTGGCCTAGAATGAGTGAGAATAAAACGAGCAAGCCCAAACAATGAACCCTGACCCACATTTCTCTTTGCTCCCAGGTTTGGGTACCCGGACCCCACCTACTTGACCCGGGTTCAAGAGGAACTGAGAGCCAAGGGTATCACAGATGACTGAAGGACAGCCCCCATGCCAAGGCCCTGCCATCCTCCTCTTCTAGGACCCAGCGGAAGCCTCTGTTCTCCTCCCTCCCCCTGCCCCCACACCACACTAGTAGGGGACCTGTCTGACCGGGGAGGGAGTTCTGAGGGGAAAGGGGCAATCCCCTCCCCATCCCCCAATGGCCAAGTGCTTCAGTGCCCTGTGAGCCACTCCCTTCTGTCAGAGGCTGGTCTCCAAGGCTCTGCTCTCTGCTCCCCATGTACATACTCCTAGTTCCCCTGCCCCTCCATTGCTCTTGGCTTCTGGTATGTGCTGTGCTCCAGTGACCAAGCTGAGAAAGGACCTGGGTGGGTCACTTGAACCCCCGCTCCCACATACTGCTCCACTTTGGGCTAAAGTGAGTCCCCCACCCCCATGGAGCCAGCTGTGTGTTCATAAGATACAGTTCTCCTACTTTAACTTTGTCCTTTCTCTCCTGTGTCTCTGTCTGTCAGTCTGTCTTTCTCTCGCTCTTCTCTGCCCCCTATAAGGAGCCTCCTTACCCTGTTCTGGAATCGCCGCCAGACTGTAGCTTTTAATTTAATAAAAATAAAGTAAAATATGCAACTCTCTATGCCACACCCATTATGTTCCGTGGACAGGGTGGGGGTGGGGGTGGGGTGAGGAGCAGGACCTGCTGAGAAGGGGAACGGGATGGTGAGGAAATCCCCGCGTGCCTTCACAGTCTCTCTGCCTCTTGAGAACCCTGGGTTTCATGGTGTTAACTGGTGGGCTCTGTAATAATACTAAGAATCCTGGGCCACACGTCGATCTTAGTCGGGATTAAGAGAGGTTTGTTTTGTTGTTGAACTGTGGTTGTAGAGAAAGGAACAACCCTACCCCCTTTTGCGAAGTTTGGCTGGGGTGGGAGTGGGGCGGAGTCGGGCAGGGGGCGGATTCCGCAGCAGCAACACCCCGGACGCACGCAGGTCTCAGAGCCCCCCAGCTTCCGTGCCCCCTCGGCCCTGAAACTTGAAGCAGGGTAGGGGGTCCAGCATGAAGCCCCCGGACCGCCCCGCCCCTGGCCGCACTGACCGGATACTGGGGGTCATGGGGGGCATGCTACGCGCATGCGCCGTACCCGGGCAGGAGGGGGTAAGAAGGGGGAACCAGTGCTGGGTCGGGGGTCTTTAGGGGCTTTAAGAAGGGCTGCAACCCACAATTCAGTTTACCCGTAAAAAGAGTTATTCGGGATGGACTCAAGGATCCATGAGTTTAATTACGAGGGACATAGCCACGTTCTCGGAGACCTTTCATAACAATGTGGATTTTGACAGGAGGAATAAGGGGAAGGAGAGATCAAGGCTACCTAGACTGGAGAGTTGCTTACAGTCATTCTGTCCCCGCAGCCCCCGAAGAGAAGCTCCCTAGGGTCGGGGTGTACCAAGCCAGAGTGTGACAGTACCGAGGGTGATCAGAGAAGGGAGCAAGAACGTGAGGTCCTCGCCTGGGCTCCGCAGCCCGGTAAGAAACTGGGATGGGGTGGGGCACAGTTTGCCATCCTGCGCCAAGTGGCGATTTCAAAAATATTCTGTTCTTATTAGCATAAAGGTTCGCGTGTAATTTGCATGAGACTCTTTTAGTCTCAGAGACCTCCTCGCTTCTCTTCGCCCTCCAGTCCGATGTGTGTCCCCCACCTCAGCCAGTCTCGAGCCCCCGCTGGAAGAGTGTCCCCGCGCCCCACCCCTGGCTCTTCGCCAGCCCAGGCTCCAGGACTTCGCCTTAATTGGTGATTAGTTTTAGCTGGAGTCCCTGGGCCTGGAGGAAAGAAGGGTCCGGCGAGAGAGCGGGAGTGCATTCCCTACAAAGAGCTCCCTATACACGTACCCCCTACCGGGGGGGGGGGGGTCCTGGCCCACTCCCAGCGAGGCCGGGGACAGCCCCAACCCGAAGACATCTTCAACCTGGCCAAGGCCCATCCACCGAGTCCTTCTCCACTGCAGAAGCCGAGGGGCGACCCTGGCAGACCCCGCGGCCACGTTTATCCCCCACCTCAACGCTGTGCAGTCGGAGCCGAGATGGCAGAGGGAGGGGAAACCCAGGCGGGGGAGCCCAGACTGGGGAGGAGGGGCGGAGGCGCTGGGGACTTGGAATGGGAACGTGGTGGTGTCTGGGGGCGGAGGGGGGGATTACGCCAGGAACCCGGCGGGGGCTGGAGGGGGAACACGCAAGAGAGGCGGAGCTGGGCCGCAGAAGCCCCTCCCCTCAACGGCACCGCAGCCGGGCCTGTTGTGCGCTCGCCGCTCGGCCGGGACCCGCGCAGCGCCACTGGCTCGGGGAATCGGCCCCCGCCTCCTCCCCGCCCGGGGCCTAGAGCCACCCAAAACCAGAGGCCGGTGATCAAGCTGGAGCGGCTGCCGCATCCCGGCCCAGCCTCCCCCACCGTCCCTCCCCCTGGCTGGACATCTGGACCCTGGGCCCCGCACCGACAGGGTTCCGGAAACCCTCCCCGCCTAGCTCCGCGGCCAGGCCCCGTGCCACCTTCTCTCTAAAACCCCCAGCCCCCTCCAGAACCAGACTTGGGTCTACTCCTGGACACCCCCTTCCCGTGCTCTCCCTCCCCCCCTCCCCCAGCCTGGAACCCGGTAGGAGGGAGGGGGGGTGTGCGCCTTGCGCCGTCCCCGCCCCGCCCCCCGTGATTCCCCCTGCATGGCCGGCCAGGGTGGGGGACGCGGGGGGGCCCGGGCGCCATGCGCGGGGGGCACAAGGCGGGTCGCTGTGCCTGTCCCCGTGTGATTCGGAAAGTGCTGGCAAAATGCGGCTGCTGCTTCGCCCGGGGGGGACGTGGTGAGTGCGAGGTTGCAGGGATCCAATGTTGAGTGGGGTTGCGGGCTGGGGTTCTAGGCATCTGGTTGTCCTGGCCCTAGGGGTTTAGGTGTGTTTTCCAGAAAGTGACTTAATAGATGGTCTGATCTGTAAGGTCTCTTCTACCTTCAGATTTGTATTAGTTCAAGTTAAGAAAACTGGGGAAGGGGCAGGGAACTCCTAACTCTTTCTTATAGTCAATTATATATGAGAAAAACCTACCCACAACCCCCTTAGCCCTAAAATATCTTCACTCAAATCATTTTGTTGAGACTCTACTTCTGAAGAGGGACAGGGAATGGAGGACTGAGGAAGGAGGGGATTCTGTAAGAGGCTTTATAAAAACTCAAATCACAGCTCTTCTCAATAGTTGGTCAAAGATAACCCTGATGAACTCGCCTCACTGGCCTCCTCAATTTGGCATGTGCATGTGTTGAGAGGTGGGCTGCAGAAGTCTTTTCTTTTTTATAATGATTACTGCAATTGGAGGAGGAAGGAGTCTGGGGGTGGCAGATAGACTCTTAGCTCTTTTTCTCCCTTTCCCAGAGAATGGTCTGTACCCATTGGAAGGGGGAGGGTTGTAGAAGAGCAGATGGCTACCCCCAGCTTCCAGTGTCTGCCCAGATGGTTGCCCCCACCCCCATATCTGTGCTATACTTGGGATATGGGGAACCTCCACATGCAATGGGGTTCAAGCTAGAGAGCCAGATGTTTACTGTCCTTCCTCCCCAGGGTGCCCTGGTGAAATTTCTATCCTAGCCAACTCAAATGAAGATGTCAAGAGATTGAACCCTGGGAGAGGGGGCTGACTGTCATAGAGAGGAGAACCTGGGAGTTCCCTGGAGACCCTGAGTCTGAAGCTGGAGCAGTATCTATTGCCTCCTTTCTTTTTCGTCCCCCCTTAGAATCCTATTCCATTGCTGGCAGTGAGGGGAGTGTATCAGCTTCTGCTGCCTCTGGTCTGGCTGCCCCCTCTGGCCCCAGCTCTGGCCTCAGCTCTGGGCCCTGTTCCCCAGGCCCTCCGGGGCCAGCTAGTAGCCTGAGAAGATGGTTGGATAATTCCAAACATTGTCTCAGTGTGGAAACTGAGGCAGATGATGGTCAAGCAGGACCATATGAGGTGAGCAGGGAGTGCCACAGAAGCATGTAAGACATCCTTGCATGACACTGGGAGAAAGGGCAAGTTGGGACCATTGGTCATTAGCAGACCCAACTACTATCCCTGCTCTTTGACACTTGACCTCTGGCCCCAGAACTGGATGCTGGAGCCAGCTCTAGCCACAGGAGAGGAGCTGCCAGAATTGACCTTGTTAACCACATTGTTGGAGGGCTCTGGAGATAAGACACAGGTATGAAGAAATGGGTATGGGGAGGCTCCCATCACCAAGAGGTATTCATTTTATTACCCTAAGATGTTCTTTCCTTCCAGCCACCTGAAGAGGAGACTTTGTCTCAAGCCCCTGAGAATGAAGAGGAACAGAAGAAGAAGGCTCTGGAAAGGAGTATGTAAGTGTCCATACCCCCTACCTCAGTTGCAGAACTTCCACAAGACTGTAAATGGAATGACCTCTGAGGTTGGCTGTAGTGATGAAAGGGCTTCTAGTCCAAGAGGGAACTGGCTAAACCAAGAACGTGCCCAGACTCTGAAGTGGGGCACTCTCATCCTTCCCTCCTAGGTATGTCCTGAGTGAACTGGTAGAAACAGAGAAAATGTATGTGGACGACTTGGGGCAGATTGTGGAGGTAGCTCCCTTATCCCTTCCCAGCCCTGGTCCACCTGCCCCCTTCCCTTTGCCTGAGAGATGCCTTGGTGCTAGTCTTTCCCACCCTCTCAGTCCTCCCTACTTCTGGACTTCCTGGGGTGGGGGAAACCACCAAGACTGGGCTACATTCTCATGCTTCCATTCCAACCTTCCCACAGGGTTACATGGCCACCATGGCTGCTCAGGGGGTCCCTGAGAGTCTTCGAGGCCGTGACAGGATTGTGTTTGGGAACATCCAGCAAATCTTTGAGTGGCACCGAGAGTGAGTTGTGGAGCCCTGAGAGCCAGGTCCTGGGGAGGGACAATTCATCTGGTAGTCTCTGTATCTCAGCCTCCAGCCCAATGAGACCAAGGAACGTTTGGAGTTGTAGGGGACACAACTAGGGCATACAGCTGGAAACCAGAGACGTGTTAGAGAGGTAAGGAGTCTGAAATGTACTTGACTTACCTTTCTCTACCAACCCTCCCAGCTATTTCCTGCAAGAGCTACAGCGGTGTTTGAAGGATCCTGATTGGCTGGCTCAGCTATTCATCAAACATGTGAGGCTCCAGAGGGTGGGGCTTAGGAGGGGAGGGGCTGGGGAATGGGTTAGTGTGATCTGGAGAAGTGCCCTCCCTCCTAGTTAACCCTACTTTCTTTTCTCTGTTATTCCTGTTAGGAGCGTCGGCTGCATATGTACGTGGTATATTGTCAGAATAAGCCCAAGTCAGAGCACGTGGTGTCAGAGTTTGGGGACAGCTACTTTGAGGTCAGTGGCAGAGGTGCCTTGGGGGAAGGAAGACAGAGAATCAGCATGACCAGGTTTTCCAGGCTGCATAACTACCCTGTCCCTGTCCTCAGGAGCTCAGGCAGCAGCTGGGGCACCGACTTCAGCTCAATGACCTCCTCATCAAACCTGTGCAGCGGATAATGAAATACCAACTGCTGCTCAAGGTCAGGATCACCTTCTCCCAGGGGGTTCAGCTGGTTGGGACAGCAGTTTCCTCTGTCATCTCCCCAGGGTTCTCAAGGCTCCCCATACTTCTTGGAGGTCCTCACCTGTGTCCTTAGGAGAGGCGGTGAGAGCATTTGATAGTGTCCCATGACCACCCTGAGCATTTCTTCTCTGTATTTTAGGATTTTCTCAAGTATTACAGTAGAGCTGGGATGGATACTGAAGAGCTGGAGGTAAGGACCTCCAGATCCTCAAGGACACACCATATTTGGGAGTTCCTCCAGCCCCATGGGTGGTTTGGAACTGTCTGGTTTGGGGGCGGGGGCAGTTGGTGTGGAGATGTGTGAAGAAGCGGCTGGCTGAATAAACCTTTTTTTCCAATAATTCCTCTCTTTGCCCAACAATGTTCCTCTCACCTGCATCCCAGCAAGCCGTAGAGGTCATGTGTTTTGTGCCAAAGCGCTGCAACGATATGATGACTCTGGGGAGACTTCGGGGATTTGAGGTATGGAGATGGGGCAGGAGTCTGGCAGCCCAGTGCTTCTGTATTTGGTTTTGGCACTCTGGAGGTCCTTTTGGGGAATTATCTTCTTCTTTGGGACTGATACCACAATTGGTTGGGAGAACTGAGGAAGGAAGGGAGGGAGGAGCAGACAGTTGCCTTTTTCCTCCTATTGAGCTTAAAGGCCATATTCTTTGGTTCCAGGGCAAACTGACTGCTCAAGGGAAGCTCTTGGGCCAGGACACATTTTGGGTTACGGAACCTGAGGCTCTCGGGCTACTTTCCTCCCGGGGTCGAGAGAGGCGAGTCTTCCTCTTTGAGCAAATCATCATCTTCAGTGAGGCTCTGGGAGGAGGAACTCGAGGTGGCACACAACCTGGATATGTGTACAAGAGCAGCATTAAGGTGGGGAGAGGACAACTGGGATGGGGTGAGGTCTCTGAGATGATATCTGGCTCTTGGATTTGTTGGAGGCATCTGAAGAATCTGGGGACTCTCTCTCTTTTTAAAAAATATTTTTCAGTTGTAGATGGACACACGTAGCTTTTTTCTTTATTTTTATGTGGTGTGAGGATTGAACCCACTAAGCTGCAGCCCCAGCCCAGGGGACTATCTCTTATTTGCCAATCCAGGTGAGCTGCCTGGGGCTGGAGGGGAACCTCCAAGGTGACCCTTGCCGCTTTGCACTGACCTCCAGAGGGCCAGAAGGTGGGATCCAGCGCTATGTCCTACAGGCTTCAGACCCTACAGTCAGTCAGGCTTGGATCAAACAAGTGGCTCAGATCCTGGAAAGCCAGCGGGACTTTCTCAATGGTGAGGCTCTCATTCCCCCCTCCTCCACATACTCCCTCAGCCCTTTGACCTCTTCAGTCCTTCACCATCCAATATCTAGCACCTATCTTTTGACTCCAGCTTCTTTCCACTTCCAGTTTTGCGTATTAACTCAAGATTTGGTAACTCAAAATCCTCTAAAGCCCCCAACACTCTACATTGAGAGTCCTCAGGCTGGAGGGAGGGCAAAATTGGAGGATGACACAAACAGCCCTTAAAGAAAGGGACCTGTCTCTGCTGTAACACTCTTTCTGTTCCTCTCTTTGCCTCAGCATTGCAGTCACCCATTGAGTACCAGAGACGGGAAAGCCAGACCAACAGCCTGGGGCGGCTAGGAGGGCCTGGGATAGGGAGCCCTGGGAGAATTCGTACTGGAGACCGGTCTCAAGTCAGCACACACACACCCATCAATGGCTCTCTCCCCTCCCTACTGTTGTTGCCCAAAGGGGAAGTGGCCAGAGCCCCGCTGTCTCTGGACACACAGGTATAAGGAACACAGTTCTCTGTTTAAGCAGAATGGGGAGGGCCTCTTTTGTTTGTGGATCCCCAGCCCCTTCCATATCATTCCTTTCTTCCACCACCTTTTGTGTACCCCTTTCTACTTCTTATCCCTCCATTTACCTTTGGGGAAAGGGGAGGTGACTTGGCTAGGGGATTAAACTGAAAAGAGGAATGAGGGTAGATTGATGGTCTTTGTTGATCCTCTGACTTGAATCTTTCTTTAGGCCCCTGGTGACAACTCCCAGGCACCCCATGGCTCTTCTCCAGTCCTTCCAACACCAAACACCCCTCCCTGTCAGGCCAGACTTGCCAAGTTGGATGAAGATGAGCTGTAACTGATGAAGGCCACGGGGTGGTGCTGACTCAGCCACCTATTCCCCAAGGAACTTCAGGGCAATCCTCTGGTTTCACTCCAGAGTTCTTCCTTCTTATTATGTCTGCAGGGTGGGCAAGGCTGGGAAAGATGTCAACTCGGAGGACAGTACCTAGATCCAAAAGGACTTCTTTCTAACCCAGGAACCCAGGATCCTTCAGCTCCACCCCTATGCATGCATCATGGTCCCTCCAAAATGAAGATATATGGGTGGTCCAGAGGGAAGCCTGGGGCAGGGGCCAGATAGAAATTATTGGTTTTGGTTTTGATTTTGTTTTTTTCTGTTTTCTGAGAATAAAGGTTTTGTTATATCACTGAGGCTGCTGTCTTAGCAGAGGGAAGGAGAGGCTGCAGTGGGTATGAAGTGTTATGGAAAAGATCAGCTGGCCCCCGTTATTTTAGGAGGGGTTTGGTGAAAGGAGCAGGGCACAAGGTATAAGATAAAAGATACTGTTATCTTTGTCCTTAACTGCAGTTGCAGCATCTCACAAACCAGAGTTGGGACTTTGGGCCACTAGAAAACCCTACATTATTTTTGATGTATTCTCCCTTTTATCCAACCCTTCTTTCCTTCCCATTCACCCTCTGGTCTAGACCCACCAGAAGACTCAGTATCCTGTGACTTCCCATCATTCTTCAAATACCCAGATACTAAAGCACAAAATACCCAATATACCTTTTCTTCTGAGGCCTCTGTGTTCTGCTGATGTAGAATGGGAAGGTAAAGAAGAGCCTGGAGTTTTGAGCCCCTTCCTGACTTGGGTCTTCTTTGCTTTCTGGGAGGTCATAGGGCATGTCCATGCTGCACAGGCAGAGATTTTCTTCAAACTCAGATCCAAGAGTGGAGAGTCCAAAGGGGTCTTCACCCCTACCAACTTCTGGCACAGCCCCTGGAACACAGAGTCAAACATACAGAGATTCACATGCCCTGTTCTGGTCCTGTGCATCTGTATGTCCACTGTGTCCGTTTGTCCCCTGGGTTCCATCACGTGTACTGGGGCTTCCTCAGCAGACAATAGACTGCTGGGGTGGGAGGGTGAGGAGATGCTGGAGTCTCCCTGTGGGCCCCAGGTCCCTCTGGCTGACAATGAAGGGAGGGATCTGTAATGGGGAGACAGGACGTAGGACCCAGATAAGATTTCTGGGGAACAATAGGAGGAATTGAAGAGGGGAGACCCACCCTCTCTGCACCCCACCCCTGGGGCTTTGGGGTCAGGGATGGGGGACCAGAGGTTGATGGGGAGGGGTGCCAAAGATTCTTGTGAATGGAGGAGGGGATAGCAGCAAATAGCAAGATTCTGGAGCTCAGAACCTTTGTTTTTCTTTATGGTCCACAGGGATACATTAGGTGTGTGGTTGACCCCATTGTACTTAGTTTAACCATGCATGTATTTTTGAGTGTCTACTTTGAGAATAGCATTCAGGTATTATGTAATAAGTGTAATAAACAGTAAGTGCTTCAGAGTTTTCGGGTTTTTTTTTTCATTGTTTTGGCACTGAAGATAAAATTTCCTATTAGTTCAATGTTTCCCTTAAATTCAGCCCAGCCACTCCCAGCAGAGGTGTGGGGTAGTAGTTTGTCATTGTCTTTGTCTAATACAGGTAGCTGCTTCCCATTTCAGTAATTTGTGAAACTGTTGAATCCAATAAAGCCCCTTTCTTGTGGCAAGCTGTGCTACATCAGGATTAGGTCTGGGATGGGACTCCCAACAAGTGCTGAATTTTCATGCTCTGAAACGATGAGAATGCAACCCGTCAGGAAAGGATCAGTGACTCCAGAGGAGCCTGATTCTGTCTCTGCTTAAAGTGCAGACGGTGAAAGGAACTCAGAGTGAAACGGGGTGTGGTGTGTGGAAATCAAAAGGCTTAGGAGTGTCTGAGAGTGGGTGTTGTTAGTTCACTTGTCTTTTGGCCTGTCTCTGATAGCTACATCTTTCCTCAGCTACCCTCATAGCAGGGCTAGCTGTCAGATCCGGCCAAGAATGTCCGAGGAAACGCCTAACGGGAGGACTCTCCCCTCCCAAGGCTGACCTGAAGGTCCCTGAGAAATGGCGTTCTCCAGGGCCGGATTGGACCCTGCTTCTTGGAGGCGGGACTCTGGGCTAGCCGAGGAAGGTGTATTTAAGACCGTGAGGAGTTGGAAGGAGTCAAGGACAAAATGAGTGGGCTACTGGGTGCCAGGACTTGCTCAAGCCCAGGAGAGGCCTCAGACCTTAAGTACCCACTGGGCACCAGGCTCAGGGAGCCCCTTACCGAGGCTCGGTTCCAGCAGCTCTTCGGGGATGAAGAGCAGGTTCAGGAGCTACCGACTGAGCCCGTCGGGCCAAAGCTGTGCAGGATGTGGAGGAGACCCGCCAGCGCCTGTTCCAGGCCGGGGGCGTGGCGCCTGCTGCAGGCTCGGTTGCCCCCACTGCGCTGGTTGCCCCTCTACCGCTGGCGGGCCTGGCTACTCGGGGATGCTGTGGCCGGAGTGACCGTGGGCGTTGTACACGTACCCCAGGGTGAGAGGCCCCAATACCAGCTTGCGACAGCTCAAACTTTAAAGGGATTCAAGGAGAAGGCATGAGAACCTGGGAATCCGGGAGTGAGGTTGTGGGTTAATGCTCGAGAGAGGGAACAAGAAGGACTGTGGGGTTTCATCAGATCCCCACCCCCACCTCTCCTCATCTGCTCAATCCTGCGAGACTGGTTCCGCTTCTGGGAACTGAAGAGAGGCATAGGGCTGCCCCCCAGGAGCTTGGCGACACCGATTTTTGACCTTGTCAGCCTCAGGGCCTCCCACGGAGGCCCATTAACCCCTTCAGTTCCCTCATGCCAGCACAGTTTAGTATCCCTGGTGCCAGGACCAGGGCTGGACTCCCCAGCCCTCCGCAGACCTTCCCTTCTATTTCTCCCCCAGGTATGGCTTTTGCCCTCCTGACCTCGGTACCTCCAGTGTTCGGACTCTACACTTCTTTCTTTCCCGTTCTCATCTACAGCCTGCTGGGTACTGGGAGACACCTGTCTACCGGTGAGTAGTCAGGGACTACTAATGACTCTTCTCTTCTTTGGGGTGAGAATGAACAGGGTTTGAAGCGTCTTTCTTGTAAGCTCCCAGTTCGATTCTCCTCTTCACCTCTTCCACATTCCCTTCCCTCTGGATGCCACTCTGCCACAGAACTCTGATCCAGGCATACTTGCTGGAGCCGGTACGGATGAGGGAGTTTACTTGGATATTTTCCCCTCGTGAACTTTGGTTAACATGAACATCTCCAGGACTTGAAGGGGAAGAAGAGATGCGAGACCCCTCACAGGAGCACCCAGTCCAGCGGGAGTCTGCGGAGGGGCAGTTTTTGCTGCCTGGTGCGCTCTCCTTTCCTTCCTGCCCACGGTTTCCTGACAGCTCATGGCCCCCACGGTCTTCACTGCGGGCAGCAGTTTTGCTTTCTAGGAGAGCGGGGTCAGGCAGCAGCAACCCTGGCTCCAAACAGCGGAGCCTGGGCTGTTGGCCGTCCGATTCAGCACAGTTGGTGATTTCGCCGTTTGTTCCCCGGCTCCAGGAACTTTCGCTGTACTCAGTCTCATGACGGGCTCCGCGGTAGAGCGGCTGGTGCCCGAACCCCTCAGCCGGAACCTGAGTGGAATCGAGAAGGAGCAGTTGGACGCTCAGCGGGTTGGGGCGGCCGCCGCAGTGGCCTTCGGGAGTGGGGCGCTCATGGTGAGGGAGGATCCCAAGAAGCCCCTGAGGGAATGGAGCCACGCTGGGGCCAGGGGAATTGGACAAAGGAAGAGAGAGGGGGAAATCTTCCGCTCAGGTTCCGCTGGGCTGGGTTGCAGTGGGGAAGCTGGAGCACTGCACCCTGGTGGGTCGGTTCCTACTTCTGTTGGTGAGTGCACATCTTCTCCCCAGCAGCTGGGGATGTTCGTGCTGCAGCTTGGCGTTTTGTCCACCTTTTTGTCGGAACCTGTGGTCAAGGCGCTGACCAGCGGGGCCGCGCTGCACGTGCTTGTATCCCAGCTTCCAAGCCTTTTGGGGTTGTCTCTTCCGCGCCAGATCGGCTGCTTCTCTCTCTTCAAGGTGGGGGTGGGAAAACAGCGGAGAAGAGGCTTCTAGAGGTCTCGGGAAGAGGGAAACCCGAAAAGGGAGAAGAGATGAGGGTGAAGGGGTAGTGTGTGAACGGGAGGAAGGGAAGCGGTTGAAGAACTACAAGGCTACGTGGGGGCGCTGCGGATCTGGAAACCCTGGTGGCATGGGGAGAGAAGGCCTTGCCTGGTCTGGTGGGTGGGCGCTGGGGCAGAGAGGGGGCAGTCAAACCTGGCAGGTGGCCCTTTGCTCACGGCCCCTGCCCACAGACGCTGGCAGCTGTGCTCACATCGCTGCCCCGGAGCAGTCCAGCCGAACTGACCATATCGGCTCTCAGCCTGGCGCTGCTTGTGCCGGTCAAGGAATTGAACGTGAGATTCCGAGACAGGCTACCTACCCCGATTCCAGGGGAAATCGTCATGGTGAGGATGGCCTAGGGCCCTTCTTGACTCCTTGCCCCTCACGTACCCCGCCTATCCTGTAGGAACTGGCTGCTGCCGCCCCCTTTTGAAATTCAGAGACATCACAAGCGAGAGGTCCTGCACACAGTCATACTTTTCTAGGCCTCCTCCCACAACAGTTTGACCCTGAAGAATCCCCATCCTCACTGTATCACTCCTCTCTCAGAGCCCCCTCTAGAACTCTTTAGAACGCCTTCTTCCTCCTTGCAGAGCCCCCTTGCGGTTTCCCTCGCTTCAGCACCTCCTCTCACCGCTCCTCATGGGATCCTTCACTGTAATTCAGTGTATCTCCCTTTCTACTCTTTACCTAGGTTGCTCTCTTCCCAATTAAATAAATATCTCCACACTATTTACATGTGGACATTTACATGTCTCCACAGATTCCCCACATATGGCCAGATATGGTCCAGCTTCCCTGCTTAAAATGGCTGTTGCACCTCTTGATATTCTTTATCTTCATAGGAACTCCCTCTTACTTCTCCATAGCTCTAGGCTTACCTCATTATTCTTTCCCATGCCCACACTCCTTCACTCTAAATGAGTTAGCTGTCAAACATCCATTCCAAACTGCCTAGACCTGCATGTGACCCTCTTTCATGCTGAGCCCCTTCTAGCTTTGCCATGGGCCCCATCTCCTCCTAGACCCCAATGTGGTGTCTTCCCCAGGTGCTTTTGGCCTCCGTGCTCTGCTTCACCTCTTCCCTGGACACAAAATACAACGTTCAGATAGTGGGGCTGTTGCCTGAAGGGTAAGAGAGAATGAAAAGACCCAAGTACTTTTTTCTCCCACCTTTCTCACCAATATCTCCTCTTGTCCTGCCCCACCCTATTTGTTCTGCCTCCTCTATCTCCCTGCAGCACCCAACCTATCCTAACCATGGATGCCTCCCTTTCCAGATTTCCCCAACCCCTCCTCCCCAGTCTGGCTGAGCTGCCCAGGATTCTGGCTGACTCGCTGCCCATCGCACTGGTTACCTTTGCTGTGTCGGCCTCCCTGGCCTCCATGTATGCAGACAAGTATAGCTACACTATTGACCCCAACCAGGTATGACTCCAACTGTATAACTATAATAAGTATAGCCCTATTTAGAAGACACCCCTTAGCCTTATTCCCCTAAGTATCTCTCTTCATCTCACTGCATCCCTCCAGGAGCTCTTGGCCCATGGCGTCTCCAACCTCATCTCCTCCTTCTTCTCTTGCTTTCCCAACTCTGCTTCACTGGCCACAACGAGCCTACTAGTGGACGCTGGTGGGAATACACAGGTAAGAGGGTGTCCTTAGGTGAGGAGAGACATTCAGGCTGGGATGGCTATAATGGAGAAACAGATTTGTAGATACCCCAATAGCATCTATAGAGAGGAGAATGGGAATCAGAGGGAGGATGAGTGAGGGGATGGGATTATAGAGAGGAGAGAGAGATGATAACAAGGCTCCATAGAGACCTTTGTAGAGTTTAAACACTGAAAAAGTCTATGGTGCCCCAGATCTAATATAAATAAACACAACACTAAACTACAAGTCTAAGAGATGAAATTGTTTTTTTCTACTGGGGTATCTGGGGTTGGGGAAATCTGGAAAGGGAGGCATCCATGGTAAGGATAGGTTGGGTGCTGCAGGGAGATAGAGGAGGCAGAGCAAATAGGGTGGGGCAGGACAAGAGGAGATATTGGTGAGAAAGGTGGGAGAAAAAAGTACTTGTGTCTTTTCATTCTCTCTTACCCTTCAGGCAATAGCCCCATGAGGACATTTTGTTTAGAAAGAAGTATCACATTTCAAAGTCTTCCCCTAATATTTTTTTTTCCTCATTCTGCTGATGCTCTAAGCAGTGGTTAGCCTGCTTATAGGGTGATTCAACAGTGGCTTTTAAGATGGAGGTAGGCTGCAAAAATAGGAATCTTAATAAATGAACCAAAATAGGAAACAAAACAGATAAACTACATAACATCTGGGGTAGTCTGGAGAATTATGGACATTTAATTGGGGGAAAGGGAGGGATGTTGATAGCTGAATATCAAGTAGGAGGTTAGGAGTGTGGTCTACCCATGTGGAAAGAGGTTTGGGAGGAGGGGGACTTCTGAGGAAGATGAAGCAGAGCAGGCAGAGAGACCAGCTCTCTCATGGGGGTGAGGGATGCTACTGGGGTATCTACCAATCTTCTACCTGCCTTCCTTTTTTCCATCCCTCCTTCCCGCTAGTTGGCAGGCCTCTTCTCCTGTATAGTTGTCCTTTTGGTGCTGCTGTGGCTGGGACCCTTCTTCTACTATCTGCCAAAGGTAGGGGGCTGAAGAGGCATGGCCATATCAGGGGTGGTGGTGTATTCCGGGACATTGTGGCAGTCAGCCCACCTCCTCTGCCCCAAGGCTGTCCTGGCTTGCATCAACATCTCCAGTATGCGCCAGATGTTCTTCCAGATGCAGGAACTTCCACAGCTATGGCACATCAGTCGCATGGACTTTGTGAGAAGTGGTGGCATTACCCCAGATTGCCCCTTCCATCTTCCCAGCATCCTCTGTATCCCCAGTCTCTACCATGGGCCAATGCTAACTGTCCTAAGTCCTTCAACTCATCCTCCACCACCACATACACTTCCTAAAACCATTTAAAGGGTGGGGTCTGAACTCCTCAGAATATTTGTAACCTCCCAACTGGCACAAGGTCCCAGGTGTATATCAGTGAGTCAGTCCTGCCTCTTCCTTCTACCATGCTTCCTACTTTTTTCTGCGTCCCCCTTTCCCTCACTTGCCTTAGTAGTCACTGCCATTGGATCAGTCTTTCTTCTGGGAAGTCCACCCCTATTTGTGTCCTACAGGCTGTGTGGATAGTCACATGGGTAGCTGTAGTGACACTGAATGTGGACCTGGGTCTGGCCGTGGGTGTGATCTTCTCCATGATGACAGTGGTCTGCCGCACGCAAAGGTAGGCAAAAAGATGGGCAGAGTTGAGATGAGGAGAGGGAGAGACCAGGTATGAGGGGTAACTCTCTGGTCAGACCAGGTTAGGCTGAAAATCTGACCCCAGCTTTTTCCCTAGGGTCCAGTGCCTAGCACTTGGATTGGCTGAGGGAACAGAACTCTACCGGCCACTCAGAGAGAGCCATAGGGTGAGTGGGCTTTGGCCAAAAAAGGAAGAGAATATTAGACCTGGATGTTTCTATGACCCTCTCGCTTTTAGCTCCTCCAGGTCCCAGGTCTCTGTATCTTGAGATATCCAACACCACTCTACTTTGGGACTCGTGGGAACTTTCGCCGCATCTTGGAGTGGCATCTGGGGCTTGGAGAAGGAGGCAAGGTAAGGAACTTGGCCAAGGAGCAGAGTGAGTCTTCTGGGATTTGGAAGCAGATATGTTCTGAGGTGGGTTGTTGTGCTCAAGAGGTGTATACATTCATGCTTATTTTGGGGGTAGTGGTGGCCACTCTTCTCTATTTATAGGCATCTCCAAAGCCAGATAACTTACCAGACACAGGTAAGATGGGATGACACGGAGGGAGATTTGGGCATGACCCATGCTGGTATCTTGGTACTCCTGCCTTCTCCCATCCTAGTTGCTGAGCCTGTCAGAGTTGTGGTCCTAGACTTCAGTGGTGTCACCTTTGCAGATGCTGCTGGGGCCAGGGAAGTGGCACAGGTGAGGGAGGGGGTAGGTTGACGAAAACCCATTTATCATCCTGTTTATATTCTGATTTGGGATTCAACCCCTCTGCTTCATCTCTGCAGCTAGCTAGCCGATGCAGGGATGTAGGGATCCACCTTCTCCTAGCTCAATGTAATGGTGAGTGGTATGGAGGATGGAGGGACTGTTGACTAGAGAATGACTGGACACTTGGGGAATAAAAGAGAACACAGTGTGGATCTAGGGCCCCAGAGCCTGATACTTTCCTTACACAGCCTCTGTGCTGGAGACACTGGCCCGGGCAGGAGTCTTGGACAGAGTGACCCCACAACAGCTGTTTGTGAGTGTCCAGGATGCAGCTGCTCATGCCTTGGAGAAACTGGTAAGGGGCAGCAGCGTCTGGAGTGGGAGCCAAGAGGTGCTACACTAGGACAAGGGGGTGAGGCAGGTGAGTGCCTGAAGATTCAGAGAGTTTCAGGAAAGGTTTCAGTAAAGAAGGAAGATCATGAAGGACAGGATGGGGAAGAGATGATTAGCAGATTCAAGACAAGTCAGGAAAACTGGGCCAAGCTATGAGTGAAGAAACAAAGAACTAACGTTCCAAAGTGGGTGGTGTGCCACTCAGAGCATTGCCAAATCTCCATGAGGGAAGGGGTACTCAAACTATTCCCAACCTGTCCACTCTCGTCTCCAGGAACTCACTGGCTCAACGATTTGCACAGTATGGATATGACCATGTCACTTGGAGTATGAAGGTCTCCAATGATGTGTGTCTATGTGTGTGTTTGAAGAAGGCCATGATCCTTCAGCTCCCTTACCTAATGTAATGAATAAAATGAAGCTGAAACCCTCTGGGATCCATGAAGTGGGTCTGGATGTTTCCTCATGGCCCCCAGGTGCCCCTCCCTCCCTGCCCACAGCATCACAGAGACACGAGTAAAAATGGCTTTCACCATGTGTTCACCAGCCCCTCCCAACTCCAGAGTCACAAGTTGTCTCTGTGGGGGTGGGCTGGAGCTGGTACAGAGTCCTGGATCCCGAGCTGGGGGTGGGGAGGCACAGCCTTGGGATTGCACAATGGGGAGGTTTCTCACCCCCTCAGTCCCAAGGAGGCAAGAGGAGAGTGTTTCCACTTCAGGGTTTTAGAGTCCTCCTGGGCTCTTTGGCACTTGGAAAAATTACCACCCCCCATTTCCTGCCCCATAAGAATGGGGTGGGGGGAGGACTTGGCACTGGCTGTGGGAGAGGTTATGGCTCCTCAGGCCCCTGGGCACTCACAGAAAGGAGGGGTGTCACCAGGACAAACCCCTATTTGGGATCAGGTTCTGAAGGGGAGGGTGGAGGGGCAAAGTGGTCAGAGATCTTCAGAGGAGTGCTCATTGGATGAAAGGGTTGGTTGGACAATCATGGCAGGGACAAGGAAGCAGGCCCAGCCTGACAGGGGGAAGGCCCAAGTGGCCATCACTCCGCGGTCATGCACTGCAGCCGGTGTTTGAAGTAGAGCAGGCGGTGTTTGGCCACCTGACTTTCGTCCAGTGATCCTGGGTAACGGAACCGGGCATAAGTCTCTGCCCCAGCATCCCTTGATGCCCATGGCAGCTTCAGTTTCGATGCATGATCCACAATGACGTCGGAGCAGGAGCCAACCCGAAGGGAACCAAGCCCATCCAAGAAGAATTCTGGGGTTGGAGGGGAGGGGTGTAAATAATGAAGGCTCCTGAGAGTGCAGAAGGTCAACCCACAAGGAAGAACTGAAATGTAGGGTATTGAGGGTGCCTACAAAGACTCAGTTTCTAAGAACTCTGGCATGCACATTAACCCTTCTGAGTCTCAGTTTTACTCTGTGTAAAACATGGCATCGATTTGCTTGTGCTTTGAAAATGGAAAGACATGACCTCCCCACTTTAAGAGGTTCAATAAGTGCCGCAAGAGTTGCTCTGAATGCAGTTTGAACCAGGAGAAGCGGCTGGGAGTGGAGTAAAGGGTAGTGACTATGGCAGAGAAGTTCAAGGTGAACCCAGCGGCTGTGCTAGGCGCAGGGGTCTAAAAGGAATGCGTGGGCTGGAAGCAGAGGATGGGACCTCTGTCTCTCGCCCGGGTGCTGGTCTTGGTAAATCCTTTCAGAACTCCTCCAGCGAACCCTGGTGACCAAACATCGCCCAGCTCCTGCGGAGTGTGTGTGTGCGTGTGTCCTTCCCAGGCCTTGCCGGGAGGAGGCGCCACTCACCCAGATGTGCTACGCGGCTCAGGCGCGGATCGAAGCCGACCTCTCGCACCTTGTCAGTGCGCGCCAGAAAGAAGTTGACGACGCCATCGGTGACCACGCAGCCTGGGAAGCCAACGAGCTCGTGGTGGAAGCCACGCCTTTGCCGGAGGCAGTTCCCGAGGCCTGGGGCGCCTTGTTCCACGCTCAGCAGCTGCCGGTAAGTAGTAGCAAAACCCGAAATCTCCCGCACTGCTCCCCCAACCTGCAGGAGTGGGAGGATGGTTCCAGGTGGGACTAGGCTCCTAACCTTGCCACATCCTTTTCTGCTTCACCGTACAGAATGCAGACCGTCCCCCAGACTCCACTTTGTGGACTCTCTCTGTGCTAAGGCTGGTAGTTCTCAACCGCCGCTCTCCCACCGGAGCCCTAACCTGTTTAGGGCCCTTCTACCCTACATTCCACGGCCCCTCTCCTACCAGGTCCAGCGGCGTCCGCTCCAGAACGTCCACAAGTCTCTCCAGCCGCGTGCGCGCTGTGAAGACAAAGTCGTCGTCCACCCACAACACATATTTGGTGGTTACTTGGGACACGGCCAGGTTCCGGCCCGCGAACCAGCCCTGCAGGAAAGGTGTGTACAGTTGGCGCGTCTGGAGAAATAGAATATGCCTCTTTGCCACCTTTCATTCCCCCCACCCCCACCCCCGACTCCTCACAAAAGCCTGTGCACCGCTCCAGACTTTCCAATGTCCAGAAGCTAGGTTTAAAAAAAATTTCAGATTCCCATCCCCATTCCCAGAGGTTCTGAGTCAGTGTTCTGGGGGAGGGTCTTGGAATGCATCTTATTCCTTCATTAATTATTTTATTGAACGCCTTGGTAGGCATTAATAAGCATCATTCTAAGAATGCAGAACGAATAAGAGAAACATAATTTTTTCTTCCACAGAGTTCACAGTCCAGGAATCCTCATGCTTAACAGGCACCCTCTGGATTCACTAACCTGGTTGCAGACTGAAGAAACGCCCCCTCCCAGAGTCGTCTTGCGCCCCAGGTCAGCCTGGCTGACAGCATACCTTGCCGAAGGGCATAAGATAGTGCTCCACGTGGGGACCAATAACGCGCTCTGGTTTGTCACTGTCGTCAGCAATGACCACGGTGACCGTGGGGTAGAAGCGGCGGATGCTAGCGATGAGTGCCCGTAGCCGATCATATCGAAGGAAGGTCTTGGTGGCAATGGTGACCAGAGCGCTGATGTTGTACTGGCCTGCTAGGACATAGGAATGGATGCAGACAAGAAGATTGAGGAAAGAGAAGCAGGAAGACAACCCTTATTAGGGCCACCCTGTCCCAACTTACTCCCCACCAGGGCAGGACCTACTACTTCCTTGCCCACACCAGCCCAACTTACTTCCCACCAAAGCTGTACTACTTCTTCCCTGCCCCCACTATCCTCACCTTCCTGAGGTAGAGACCCAGGCGGGTACAGTCGGGGGTTGAGGGGATGTCTTATGCGGATGGTGAAGGCAGCCTCATGTCCTTGGGTGGAGAACCGGACTGGGGAGAAAGGACATGAGATTGGGCCCTTAAAGTTGGGACAACATTCTTTTCAGTCCATTAATTAATATTTAAGTGCCTACTCTTTGTCCTGCCTTTCTAGGTCTTAGTGGTCAAGAATACTAGGTTGTTAGCCCCATGGAACTTCCTAATGGGTAGGGAGAAAGACAATGAAAAAGTGTTAATTAAAAGCTAAGCTTTTTTTGAGCATTCACTATGTTCCAGACACTTAAATTATGCTAAATATATGAATTACTTTAATTCTCTTGATAGCCCCAGTAAGTAAATTCCTATTACAGAAAAAGAAGGTGAAGTACAGAAAAGTAACTTGCCCACACTTACACAACAAGAAAGCTGATAGGAACCTAGTCTATCTTGTCCCAGGCTAAGTAAGAAAGCTCAGATACTATTTAGTACCAAATAGAAAATAAGACAAAGTAATAGTGTAGAGGAGACATTTGAGCTTAGATCTAAATGACAAGAAGGAGCCAGCCATGCAAAAATCTTGGGGAAGAGCATTTCAGATAGAGGGAACAACAAGTGCAAAGACCCTAAGATAGGAGAAAACTTTATGTAACAAACTTTGGAGAGGAGCAGGAGGGCTGTGTTATGCCCCTTTTGCTAGAGGAAAAATGGGAGTTCTGGAAGTTAAGAACTTTGCCCTCTAGCAAGTGATGTTTTGGGAACAGAGCCTGAGTCTTTTGGCTTAGGAGCAGGTCACTTCCTGGGGCCTGTCATGGTTGGCCAGAAGTGGGGACACACTCAAGATTCAGGTTTCTTTCTAACCTGCTCTGGCCCCAGATGAACAAAGGCCCCTTCTCTCCCTCTCTGGCCCTGCTTGCCCTGTTGAAATACCCATTGTGTGGCCAGGCAGCTCTGGCCATTGCCTGGGTACCTCCCACACCCTGTGATATTTGCCTACAGCAGTTTTTCTCCATCTTTTCTGTTCATCCAGCCTTCCCCTACCTCTATACAGGTCTCACACCTGTGTCTGCTGTGTTGGTCTGGTAGCTTCCGCTACTGTAAGTGACCAGTTGTAGCTGCCGGTTGAGGTGGTCCAGCCCTGGGCTGGCAAGGGTGAGATCTGGCTGCCCTTCTCCAATGACAGTCACTCCAGTCACTTGCCCTGCCACATCCCAGGTGCCCAGGGAAGCAGTCAGGTTCACCTGGCAGAGGAGATCAGAAAGTGTAGGGTCAGGCCCCAGACCCACCTCTTGTCTCCCTGATTCTTCCATCCCTCCCTTGATGGCCTTGTCTCCCTCCCAGCATTCTCATGCCCACCTGGTCTCCTTGTTCTGTTTTCTCTCACCTGGTATACCTCCTGACCAGAAGCTGCCTGCAGGCTCAACCCTGGGAGGAATGATGGAGGATTAGAACCACACAGACAACCCTAAATTCTTTCTCACTTTCTCTTGCCTCTTTCACCACACACAACATAGAACTTTTCACCCATTCATCTTGTTGAGGCTTCAGCAAGAAGCCTAGAGTATAACATAGCCTAGAGTAACTGATTTTTTACTTCCTGCTATCAAAATGGTATTTCTTTCATAGCCTAACCTACATATCCAACTAACTTTTGGTCAGTTAGCAAATAATAGATTCGTTTTCCCAAACCTCCCCAGTTATAGTCTTCTGTAATTTCTGACAACCCTAGAATCCCTTCTCCCCCATCTCCTCCTCAAGTTCCCTTTCATCAGAAGTCATCCTCACCTTCCATTCTACCCAACCTTGGGCACTGCCCCCCTAATAGTGACCCAGGCCATCCTCTTCCCCACCTGGCACTAAGATGCTCCTGAGGGGCTGAACCTCCACACCCTGCAGAGGATACTGTAGGGGGGAGTTGGCAGGGGCTATGAGCAGCTGGTCAGCTGGGGACTGGCTCCTGGAGTAGAAGAGGACAGAAGAAGAGAGGATACAGAAAAAGTCAGAGGGGCTTGCTCTCCTGGCTCAGTCACCACAATCCTTCACTACCATCCCCCACAAAGTCATGTTCTCCTTTCTCTCTAGTACCTTGAAAGGAAGGCCTGGAACTCTCTTTCCCTTTCTGCAGAGGCAGCCCTCAGCTCCTCAGGGTCAAAGGCCTTGGTGAGATCAATGGCTCGGACCTGTCTCTGGAAGGGAAGGGGGAAGCTCCCCCCACTGGACTCACAACTGCAGTTGTTCTGAGTCAACAGCCTGAAGAGGGGAGAGGGATCTTCAGAGTCCAGCCACACTCATCTCACAAAACACATTGGGCCCACACTTTGGCTTCTCAACTCTGCCCATCCAGTATGTGTTCCCTTAAACATTGCTCTTCAGATAATCCCTAGGAGTGGGAGATCATGAATGTGACTCATCCCTTAAATCTGGAATTCACAGAGGTGTAGAATAGAACCAGTTACTAAGATTTCAGGACCTACGAATTGGTACCCATCATTAAGGAACCCTTCTGGAATCTCTTTTCATGTCTGAATCTGGACATCAGAGAATCTTTCAAGGGCCTTCCTCTGCCTGCACACCCTCCATTCCCACTGCCATGACAAGGTTCAGGGAAGACAAATATCCACACCTCCCCCAGTCCAAGCTTCAGCTACCCGCTCCACGTCCCACTTTACTCCACACAACCACTCAGGAGAAGGGAGGTATCACAGCCCAGCAACAGAGGAAACAAAAGCTCCCCAGGCCACCCCACTAGCAAGCATTGTGCCACTGCTGCAGTTGTCCGCACTCACCCGACCACTTGCTCCTTGATCCTGACTGGGATGTGTGCATAGCGGGGCTCCGGGACAAGATCTGGCAGCTCGGGCCTGGGGGGGCCGTGCGGGGGTGCCCACAGAGCAAGAGGGGTCCGGAGGCCCGGCGCCTCTCGGGTGCTTGCGTACAGGAGACCTAGCGAGGCGCAGGCGAGCAGCAGGACCAGCGCGCACAGGGCCCGGCGGCCCAGCCGCATCCTGGGGTTGGGGGTAGGGAGGGTGAGAAACGGAGGGAGGGAAGGTAAGGGCTGGAGTCCTTGACCCCGGCGACCTCGGAGGCTCTTGAGGGCTCCCAGGGGCGCTCTCCGTACATCGCACTAGGATTTTCATCGCGAGTCATTTTCCCGGTACCCTTTCCCTCATTCCCTCGGCCTCAAGTGTCTCGGGTCTCCTTTCTTCTCGCCTTTTCAGCATCTCGTTTTCCTCTCACACCCGAGGCCTGGCATCTTGATGCGAGAGGCATTTGGATGCTGTGGCTTCAACGCGGCAATGCATAAGTAGAAAAGCACCGCTTTATTAGAGCGGGGGACGTCCCTACGCCGCTGACCGCCCTGCCCCTCCCCCCTCCCCCAGTCCGAGCATCACCTGGGCTGGGGTGGGCTGCAGAGGGGTGGCTCCACACCTTCCCGTCAGGAAAAATGCAGAATCACGCTCCTTCTATTGGGTGTCCCGGCGGAGGTGACCCCCTGGCTGGCTTTGGGAAGCTGCGCGGGGGACAGGATGGACGGGCGAGCGTGTCGCCGGTCGCCTCCACCTTGGCCCCTCATCCCGCCTGGGCACTGACCTGTCTAGCGCTCTAAGGCCGCCGCAAGATTTCGGTGCCGGCTGCTCCGGGCTCTCAGCCCCGGCCTGGGGGTCCTCATGGAGCAGGGGGTGGCTTTATCCGGGAGCTGGGCGTGCCTGAGAGTGTGAGGGATCCTCCTGCCTCCGGAGAACGCCCGACCCCTCCCGCCTTCGACTCTCCGGGCTTTGTAGACCGCGGCGCGGAGGTGGTTCTGGTTGTCTCCTGCCGAGGGAAAACGAAATTAAGAATCCGCCGCACCAGTTCGAGGAACAAAGCTGAGGATCCCTGGCACCGTGTCCCACTTGCAGGGCCCGGAGGGCTCAGGCCGCCGCCTGGCTTTCACACCGCAGCACCGCGCGGCTCGGTTCCCAGGATGGTTGCGGCAGAGGCTCCGGCTCCGCGCGGGGAATGAGAGCGCCGCGGCGCCTTCTGGTGGGCGCAGAGGAGATCGCCCCGGCGCGGAGCCGACCCGGGAATGTCCTCCCTCCTAGCCCCGCATCCCTTCGCCCCTAGACCTTTGGCTTCTCAATTGCCAATCCCCAACTCTAGGCATTCTGTTACCTATTCGCTCTGAGCATGTAGACAAAGATGGGCAATAGGGCGTTGGGAGCGGGCGGACGCTCCCAACCCTCCTATAACCCCTTTCCAAGGAAGGTTTAAGTGGTTAGGGTGAGATAAAGGAAACAAGCCCTGGAAAATAAGCCCTCTGCATGGCTGACAGAGACAGATTCACACCCTCCCCTCCAGACTCCACCTCCACTTCCCGCTCTGGCAACCCCTACTACCTACCAAACACTCAGGAGGTAAGCAAAATTCAGGGGCCTATTTCCCCTAACTGCCCCTTATGCAACTTGCAGCAGAAGAGGAACTCCAAAGAGCAACCAGTTTGGTAGTAGCTGTGCTGCCAAGCTTAGGCCATAGAAGGCGGACATTGTCCAGAATCAAAGAACTATGGTTCTGTGGTTCTCATAAAAGATGTATCAAGATTTAATGGGAAAAATATATAATAAGAAATGTAGAACATGATGAAAATATGTGTGTGGAGGGAAGGATTGATTATTTAATGAATTGTATACAAAAGAATGACTCATCAGCTGGGGGAAAAGGGGGAATCCCACTTTCCAAAATCAACCTATCAAATATTCTGTTAGAAATTAAACCATAAAAGTAGATAAAAATCAAGTTTTTGTTTTGTTTTATTTTGTTTATAATCTTGGAGTCGAGAGGAGATCTCTAAGCAGGAGATAAAGGGAAATATTAATAAATTTGCCTATATAAAAATACTTGAAGGGTCTAGGGGTATAGTGCTTGCTTACCATGCATAGGGTCCTGGCTGGGGTCCATGCCCTGCACCACAAAAACAAAAGCAATACTTGACTGAAGAAATTACTCTAAAAAAAACTTGTGAAGTGTCAAACTGTGAGAAAACGTTTGCAATCTACTTTGATGATTACTCAAGTGTGTTTAGTTTGTGAAAATACAGAGTTGTATATTTCACTGTACACTTTTCTGTATAGAGATTAAAGTACACAATAAAAATATGCAATATAAATATATCAATAAAATATTTAAAAATATGTGAGAACAATTATCTGATTTTGAATATATATATATTTAATATATGGGCTTGAGTTATAGGAATATTAATTGGCTTTAGGAATTTTGGGGGGTGGGTATGGGAAATTAAACCCAGGAATGCTTAACCACTAAGCCACATCCCCAAGCCCTTTTTATTTATTTATTTATTTTTTAAAGAGAGTGAGAGAGAGAGGGAGGGAGGGGGAGAGAGAGAGAGAGAATTTTCTTAATGTTTATTTTTTAGTTTTTGGCGGACACAACATCTTTGTGTATGTGGTGCTGAGGATTGAACCCTGGCCGCATGCATGCCAGGCGAGCACGCTACCGCTTGAGCCACATCCCCAGCCCTGATTTTGAAAATATTCAAAAGGTATCTCTTCAAGAAGTACACCAGTTGGGCGGGTTTTTTTTGTTTGTTTGTTTGCTTGTTTATTATTATTTTTTTTTTGATGGTTATCTTGGATCACACATGTAGCTGCAGCCATGTAGCAGCTCAACTGGGGTTAGATGATACAAATTGCCTTCCTTGCATGATGGAAATTTGGTGCTGGCTATTAGCTGAAATTCTCTCTTCATGTGATCTTTCATCATCATCAGAGAAAGGACTTCATTATATGGCTATCTCAGGCCATATAATTTATTAATTTCAGGTTATACCTTTTGAGGTATTGCTTATAATTCATGCAGTATTATTTCTCCATACACATATGTATACACACATGAATGTCTGTATACATGTATGCATATATGTTTATGTGTCAAAGCAAGTCATCAAGCTAATCCAGATTCAAGGAGTTGTTAAGCTGTATTTCCTGATTAGTGTGACTTCAAAGAATTTGTGACCATTTGTAATCCTCCAATATCACCAATGTCTTTTTTTTTTTTCCCCCAAAGTACTGGAGATTAAAGAGCCAGGGGCTCTTTACCACTGAGCTACAGTCCCAATCCTTTTTTTTTTCTTTTTAAGAGAGAGAGAGAGAATTTTTTTAATATTTATTTTTTAATTTTTGGCGGACACAACATCTTTGTTTGTATATGGTGCTGAGGATCGAACCCAGGCCGCATGCCTGCCAGGTGCCCCAGCCCTTTTTTTTTTTTTTTTTTTTTGAGATCAGGTCTTGCTTAGTTGTTGAGGCTGGCCTCAAACCTGTGCCTCAAGTCTCCTGAATTAATTAATGGCATGTTATTAACAGCATGTGCCACCATGTAGGGCTGACAAATCTTTAACAGCAACAGGAGCAATTAAGTAAATACTTTTAAAAAGGAAGACTGTGTTAATAATGTGGTGTCAACATTACAAGGAGAAAAACTCTGAAATGGCAGAGCTATAAATGCTAAGGAGCCTAGAATTAAAGTCATCCCAATAACAATGAGCCACAGATACCCAGATCTTCCAATACCTTCCCCACCAAAAAGGATAGTGTAAGGTTGGAAAGGGGTATATATCCCCCAAAGATAAACTTAAAATAACACTTTTTACTCTAAACTTTTTAAATTTGGATTCATCAGGACTTAGTGCTGCGGAAAGGCATATGTATCCAAAAAATGTACATAAGCCTAAAGTACTTTGGAAAGATATTCTAACAGGACAATGGAAAGGTCCTGACCCAGTGATTGTCTGGAGTCGGGGTTCTGTTTGTGTTTTTCCACAGGGAGAACAGCAGCCAACTTGGATTCCAGAGAGATTAACTAAAGCAATTTCTACAGACCAAAAAGAAGATGCTGAGAGCCATTGCCAAGTAGGTATGACGCATGGCATGACCCAGGTCATTTGCAGTGACATTGCATGTAAAGTGACCTTGCTCAAGGACCAGGGCGGATCCAGGTTTAGGGTGTATCCTGCTGGGATTAGGGAGTATCCTGCTGCCTCAGGCGCACCTGCTCCTTGAGTTCCCGTTGAGTTCTCGCAGGATTCAGAGAGAACGTGGATTTGGCCCAGAATGCGGATTGGCCCAGAACGTGTGTGTAAAGTGCCTGTGACAGTTCGAGAATAAAGAGTTGCTGTTTGAATCTACAAGGTGTGTGGTGGCTCGTGATTTTGTGCCCAGCCAGACTGCAGCATAAGGTCAGCACCAGTGATCAAAAGGAGACAGATTAAAAGCAGCTGAAAAAGGCTTTATTGAGATTTGCTCCTGGATGAGACCCTCCAGTCCAACAGAGGTGGTCCGGGAGAATTGCACCCAGGCTCAGCCAGATTGGGATTTTATTGGGTTTAGGGCAGGAAGGGAGGGTTTGGAATAAGAAAGGGAGGTTTTCAGTCCCTTGTGCTTCTGGGGTTGGTCTGGGGATCTTGCTGAGAACTGTGTCCTTCCAGGATTGGTCAGGAGACCCCACTGATTGACAGGTGGTTATGAGGCACTGCTTGTCTGTCAGCACCTCATTGGTTGTTCTTTTCTGCCTGGGTTGCCTGGTGCTTTGTTCCTTTAGCCACCTCAAACCAACCCAACAGGTAGGCTTCCTTGGACTTACTCCAGGTCTCATGCCAGAGTTGAGAGAGAAAAAGTCACAGAAAAACCTGAAATATCAGAAATTAATGAAGTGCTTTAAAAAAAAAAAGTGGTAGGAGTATGTCAAAAGGACACACAGAGTGGGGCTGGGGACATAATTTAGTTGATAGAGTGCTTGCCTTGCATGCACAAGGCCCTTGGTTCAGTCCCCAGCACCACCAAAAAAAAAAAAAAAAAAAAAAAAAAAGGACACTCAGAGGAGCCAGCTTGAAGGGGCTTGCACTGGCTGGATCTATGAATTTAGGACAGTTTAAGCACCAAAATAATTTAGAGTAGGAATGAAATATAAACCATTGGAAAATAGAAATATGTAAGTCCACACTAAAACAGTAGGAATCATGTGTCCACACTGGTAATATATAATTAAGTAAGTGAATGAAAGGGAAGGGAGAATGCCAATTGAGAAATGTGGAGGGAATTGACAGATTTGGAATATAACCGTTTTTTGGCCATCTTGGTAAAGATTGGTTTGGGAGCCAGGTGTGATTGTATATGCCATAATCTGAGAACTCGGGAGGCCGAGTCAGGAGGATCACAAGTTTGAGGTCAGCTTCGGCAACTTAGAGAAACCATGTCTCAAAATGAAAAACAAAAAAGGGCCAGGGATGTAGCTCAGTGGTAAAGAGGCCTTGGATTTGATCCTTATTACCACAAAAATAAATAAATAAAATAAAAATAGATATGGTCAAGAATCATCAATTAATCCTGATTCTTGGGGAGGGACTGATCAGAAGTAGGATTTGTACATAGCTGACTTATTTTAATCTTTATTATTTATTTATTTATTTATTTATATTTTTGTGGTGCTGGGGATTGAACCCAGGTTCTCATGAGTGCTAGGCAAGGGCACTATCCCTGTGCTATATCCCAGCCCTGCACATGGTTTAAAGTGTCTCTTCATAGATGGTTAATTAGTCACAAGAGGAAAAATTGTAATTGCACAATGAAAAACTAGGCAACACTTTGATAAGATGGTCAAAATTAATGAGTTGCAAAAGAATATGGTCTGCCTCCAGATATACTATCTTGAGAAAGACATAATATCACTTATGCAGTATTCTGGCTGGGGTTACTTAACTTGATTCTAAATATGAAGGAACAAACCCCAAATGAGAAATATTTTTATATATGAAATTAATATGTATTTTTAAAAAATGTCATTTTCCAAAGAAAACCTGAGAAATTGTTCCAGATTAAATAAGACTAAAGAGACATGACAACAAAATGCACCATGGACATTTTAACTTATAAAAAGTTATAATGGACATTTTGGGGAACAAGTGACAAAACTGTAATGTGGATGATAGATTAGATAACAGTTAATGTTTTATCTTTGTTAAAAGATAAAGAGCTGGGCATGGTAGCACATACCTCTATTTCCAGGTACAAGGGAGACTAAGGCAGGAGGATCACAAATTTAAGGCCAGCCTGGACAATTTAGGGATGCTCTGTCTCAAAACAAAAGAGGACTGGAGGTATAACTCAGGAGTAATTACTGGCCAAACATGTGTGAGGCCCTGGGTTCAATCCCCAGTAATGGGGGGATCAAGATAAACAGTAAACGTTAAATTTTTTGAAGTTGATAATTATGATTATCTAAGAAAATTTCCT